TGTAACCCAGTTGACAAAATATTCCTGTCACTGCTTGCAGTAGCCATTTGAAATAAAGGGGTCTTCCTAGCAACAACTAAACACCAATAGACAAATTGGATTGGAGGACTTCAGCTGCCAAAGCCAGAAAACACTACTTTTAACATGGAGCAGGCAAAGATTGCACTGCAGCAGGTTGAGAGTAAGAAGAGGATGAAATCTTCCATTCTTTCCTTCCAGACATTATTGATGGGCCACAAATAAGAATATGATTAGCTCCAAGAAAGACTCTACCATTTTAAAGCAGTGTTTCCCAACCTCAGCAACTTTTAGATGTATGGATTTCAACTCCCAGCATGCTGACCAGGGAATTATGACACCTACACATCTTACAGCTACAGAGGTCGAGAAATATTGCTTTAGATGACCACTCAACAATAACCTTTGGCAAGATCTAAATCACTCCTGTTCCTTATCATATTCCGTTTTAAATAAATAAGGTTTAATTTAATGACAAGAAGTGAATATTACTTGATTTCTTCTACATCTTTATAAAGTGGGAACAAAAAATCTAAGGATTAGGTTTAAAAAGTAATTTAAAATTACCTAATCAACTTTCCTAAGACTTGTTCGAAGCATTGGCAACACAACTAAATATGCTAGATGATGAAAACAGGGTTCAAAGCTGAAGAAAATCTTTATATTTCATTATCCTATATTTAAAGGATATAATTTCCATTTTTCCCCATTGAATGTGTGCATCGCAGCTTATTTGCAGAAATTCTATCCTACATCACAGTGCCAAGCCTTTACAGAGTTCAAATGAACACCTTGAAAAAGTTTATTAAAAATCATATACCAGGAAATATATATTTATTAATAGAATTGTAGTATCATGCATATATATTTCTAAATTCAAAGTTTTAATTTCACTGAACCAGTCATGAAATATATTAGAACACCATCAAGATCTTTCAGCTACAAATTTCGGTGTACTATACAATTACTAATTAAGGCAAATACCCTAACATAATGTGTGAACTCACCACAGGCAATATAACAAGGACAGCACTTCTAGACACTGGCATTGGTGTTCTTCCTCAGTTTACTTTAGATGCAAAATGGTATTCAATAGATTACATTGTAATTTCACAACAATCTTTCTTTTCTTCATGAAAAGTCAGCATAATCAGGCACCACCAATATTGTGATTCAGTTATATGAATTTAATCCAATGAAATGCTCAGGAGCACTCAGAAACTTGCATACATTTTGCTTTTATGGCACATTGATTATCAGGAGAGAAGGGTCACTGGAGGTAGGAATGCTGTAGAAATGAAGTGTGGCTATCTAGGTACAGAGATGAAATATTGCTTGTTTTACTGACTTTTCATGAAGAAAAGAAAGATTGTTGTGGAAATGAAGTAAGGCTATCTAGGTACAG